TGACTGATTGTTCCAAGTATGGTCATCTGCGGTACACGCAGGAGCCGTCTAGTTAGATAGATGTGTGGTTGCGTAGCATGGCCATCACAGTTAGACCGTGGTTGCTGACTATGTCCACCGTGTGTTCCAAAGCAAGGTGAGAACAGGCACGGTGAACTGGTTTACAGTGAGAGTAGACTTGCGCAGCGTCTACCGCACTCCCCTCTCCTCTCCACCTGGGCCCGGTGTCAAGACGGAGCTAAGAAGACTGAGGGCGCAGGTGGTTGGCACGGCCAGACCTAGGCTTACCCCACGCGCTCTAGTCCAGAACAAACACTTGACCAGGATTTTAAACAACAACAAAATGAACGAGTCAGAAGGGTAAGGATGACTGGACAGCCATGCCCACCACCCAGCGGGAGCGCAAGCGCATCTACCGGCAGGTGACCGGGTGCCAGGGCGCACACCAGGCCGCGAGGGCCATGCCTTGCTGAATCATGGCATAGCAGACGCACACATCTTAAAGCGTGGCAGGTGTGTGTGTGGGGTCACGTAGCAACTGCATTCTATAAATTTGGCAAGTCCTCGTGTGTCCGCGGTCCTTGCCTGACTCTGTTTCCGATGATGAATTCGACTACGTGTGGAACCTCTGGTGAGAAAAGTTTGTATTTCACTGATCGGTGTGAGGGGTTTTGGTGTATGAGTTCCAATCTGAATTCAGTAGGTAATCATACGGCCTTTGGGCTATACAGTGAGTGACCGATCTCATGGAATGTTGGCCAAAATTCTGAAATGCGTTTTCGATTAGTACTAATTGGGTGGGGTTGTGATACAGATTATCTTGCGGCGTAATCCTATAATATTTCGGACTTGGCGGGATGTCGGCTCTCAAATGCACGTCTTTTCAATCTCCTGTATAAGTCGTGCTCGGCAAAAAATGACTACATAAGTCGCATGCATTTTTCACATTGATTTTCGATGGTCTTGCATATTCGCATATACTTTATAAGAAACGTTAACAAAAATATTATTCCTTTTACTCCTTTGATAGAGAATCGCGTCAACTTCATAATTTATACTCGAAGAGGGAGTATAATTAGGTTTTAGATAAGTTTCTAATTATGAGAATTTTTAAGACCGTGCGATGTCTATTCATACAGCATCATACCTGTCCTATTACCACTGCTCCTCATGAAATGTACAACATCGTCCGCATCCATTGCAAAATGTTATAAACTTTATGTGAAATATTTTTAAAGGCATAGAAGACTATGTGGTTTTCTTTACACGGAACGCATGAAGCCTGTAGACTGCAATCACTAGGCGCTAATGTAACGGCCAATCGGGCTCCAAATTATTCGGAAATTAGGAAACTTTTAAAACCTAATTATAATGTTTCTTCGAGTATAAAACATAAAGAGGACGTGATTCTCTATCAAACGAGTGGAAGTATATTTTTGTTAACTTTTCTTATAAAATGTATGTGAATTTGCAAGGCCATCGAAACTCAATGTGAAAAATGCATGCCACTCAAGTAGTCATTTTTTGCCGAGCGCGACTTCTACAGGAGATTGAAAAGACGTGCATTTGAGAGTCGGCATCCTGCCAAGTCCGAAATATTATAGGATTACGCCGCAAGATAATCAGTATTACAACCCCCCCCCCCAAGTTAATCCTTCGTAATTGGAAACGCATTTCAGAATTTTGGCCAACATTTCATGAGATCGGTCACTCACTGAACGACTCTAGCTGGTAGACCGCAACCAGCCATTAACTGTGAACCCCTAGGCTTACACTTTTGTCAACGCCTACAGCCTTGTCTCACTGAAAGACTGCGTTCAAATTGTGTGACTGTTCCCAAACCAAAGAAGCATTTACTAGAGCGCGGGACCACGTAACTCGTCGGTAACCTGCCGTTTTTTTTAGAATATTCGCGTTAGGCAGTCTCAGGCGACACTGACGGGCCCAGCTTGACCTCCAACTTGAACCAGATTCCACCATGGAGCTTTCTTCAGTCCTCGAACAGATTATCCTGTTAAGTAATAGTTTTTTTTCGAAGTAGCCAGGGGTACTTGTAGGTTGTGATGCCTCCTCCTCCTCCTCCTCCTCCTCCTCCTCCTCCTCCTCCTCCCTCTTTCTCCTATCCTTACCATGGTTTAGCCGGGTGCTTAGTAGGGATTGGTCTGACCAGTGCCATCCACCTCTAGCTCTTCGGTTCACTTCTGCCGGTGGTCGTCCGTTATCTCCGCAGGGCGCTGACCCCCCTATATTCAAATTTGCTA